TTGTACACATACTTGAAAAAGAAAAAAAATAGTTAACTTAAATTTTTTAATTAATTAGAGATCTTCCGCTTCTTAATTGGTATATTACAAGCATACTAAGATACACTTTGTGTGGAATCACTTGTAGTTATATTTTATTTAAAACGACGGTGTTTTGTTTTTAAAATATGACCAATGTTTTATCTACGAAAGGTTTTTATAAATAACCGAAGGTTGTATAAATAAGGCACGTCACATCCGCGAAGGTTCGATACGGGAAGAGAGGCACGGGCGGGCGGCGGTCGTTGAACCCGCCCAACCGACTGCCTACCTCCATCGCTATTTCTTCCCCAAATTATCATCTAATATCTTAATGAATTTCATGAATACAAAAAGCAGATGACTTGTTTAATGGGGGGCAGCGTTGTTAGCGCCACAGATTAAAATGTAGAGACAGAATGGAATGAAACAAAATAGAAGAAATTTAGTTTTGTTTTTTCTCATTGAGTAGGTTTGACAAGCATGGAGATCACTCGATGGCTGGTGAAATACCCCCCCCCCAGCCATACAATATCTAAACAAGTTGCGCTGTCGACCTATTTTAGCTTTAGATATTTCGGAAATACACACAGACTGGAACTGAACCCACCTGACCACGGCTACTGAAAAGCATCCAAAACTACTCGCGTACACTAAAGACTATGCATGGCCAAACCAATATTTTAAAATAAGTTCAACTAATATATATCACGATTTAAACCGTTAAAGTGTTTTTAACACTATTAATACTTTACTACATACATTCAAAACTTTAAAAAGTCAAACTTTAAATTTCGAATCAAAATTAATTAGTAAGCAATTACATGTCGATTAATTGTGTCTAAGAAAATTTAATTTCTCTACATGAAATTACGAAATAATTCAAACTTAAAAATAATTTCTTTGATAATGAAAAGAAATTAATCAAAACGTGTAATCAACGGAACGGATTTCACGGATCGATTCACATCATAATAAGACAATTATAAATACACGAGGGTGAAACTTCAAGAAACAAGGCAACGATTTTTTTATAATTCCGTATCAAGTCCAGAACGATTATAAGACATTTTACAATTTTCTAAAACATCTCGAGCCCGTCTATACATTAAAAGACTGATGAGGAATATCAAAGTTGCGTCCGAATATCAAACAACCGTCCACTCACAAAAAAACAGTTTTTAAATTTCCCAATAATGCCATAATAAGTCGACAGTTAATCCTTATTTATTTTTAATTTTTTAATTCAAGCCTATCAGACGAGGCCATATCTATGTCTCAGCGGTGAAAAATATTATTAATTTTAATAAAACACTTTTAACGATTTAAAACGCGAAATGCTCTTACTTTTAAGAATTTAAGTAGCTACGGCCCGACGTTTCCGTCACGAGATAACCATGGCTACTGCAAACGTATACATAACATTTCGCGTTTTAAACCGTTGAAAATATATTGTTTAAGTACTCCCGAGAACTACAGACAAAACTTAAATTGATCACCAAAAATAATTACTCTTTCCTTATTAGCCTTACCTTAAAACCAGTTGGCAAAAGTAATAATATTTCACATGTTTTTCCTCTTACTCTTGCATGAAAGCTCTTACATTATGGCATCCCGTTCTCACAACAATTGCCTATTTACAAAATATTTTGAGCGACGTTGCCGGTCTGGCTGCGCATGAGTTGATGACGTCTCCATTTGTTCTTCCTGTTGCGATTTTAAGCAGTGAAATCTACCGTGATACATAAAGCTTTTTGCGCACAGTACTATTATGAACAGTAGGACATATCATTTTAAAGTATCTTATTAAGAGTTTCCAGAGAGCCAGCAAGGTTATATATATCTAAGTACACACGAGGTATCCGTAGTATGTAAAAACCTACTCAAGGGAAAAAATATTTAAAAATTTCTTACCTGAAAACTTTTTTAATAAAAGGAAAACTGTGGATGACTAATAATGTCTATTATAATGACGTGTTTGGACATGAAGGCGGATATTATGATAACATTGCGTCAAATTATTACCAGTGAACGATGTAATTGAATTCTATTTAATAAACATACTATTGTTATTTTATGGTGGCATAACATTTTCTAATACCTACCTTTTATCTGTCGAACGAACGGAACGAATTGAAGTTAATGTACCCTATAAATGTTTCGACGAAATTTGATTCCAATAAAAACACTTCGTGTGTGGTTATCTTAAAAGATAGTCATGTACTGTAGCGGACTTGATTTAGATCGTTTAAAAAAGAATTATTCGTTACTATATATTTTTTGGGCGTATTCAAAATTTTTCACATCGGAACGGAAACACTGAAAGATTAACAATTTTCCCCGTTTTTTTTTCACATTTGACTCTGTTTCGTGGTCTTCCTCGATTAATGGACTAACCAACACCACAATAATTATTTAATTCGAACCAGAATCGTTTTTAAGATTAGCGTGTTCAAACAAATAAACTCTTGATGGATATTATGGATTTTTAATGTTAAAGGAGGACAGACAGACAGAGAGAACATTGGCGTCACTTGATGGTAGATGAAATACCCCAGCTATATATCATCTAAAGAAGATACGCTGTCGACCTTTTTGGCTTTGAATAATCGGAAACAAACTTAAACCAAAACGCAGTTAAACTTCCCGGCTTAAACCAATTACATAAACTGTTGTAAACGCGAATGCTATACATATTTTTTTAACTTTGACTAAAATTTAATTTTTCAGAATTTAAAGAAATAAAATCTATTTCAAAAATAATCTTATATTTTTTTTATAAATTACTCTTAAAACCAAATTTATTAAATAGATTTTTAACATAGTTCACGTGAGTTCTAAAAATAACATGTTGATAAAACTTTTAAATAACCATTATGGTTTGCGAATTCTGACTGTGATATGTTTATCGTTGATCTTCAATTTTACATAGAATTTAAAGAAATATTTAGCTTAAAAAATCAACATTGTTTATTTGATTTCACAAGGTTACTATGGCTTTGATCTTTTTGGCATTTGACCAAAGCGTAAATTGCAATTTTATATGACTTTCGGATAAATTTCAGAACGTTTGAGTCCTGTGATGTGTGGTGCCATTTGTCATTTGTATTTACATAAAACAATTAGACTATTTTTATCCATAAAAAAATTAAAAAGAAATAACTAAGAATTATATTGAACAATAAATTATTTATTTATAACGTCCTCGGTGAACACGGCCATTGCAACACATCTGAAGTCTCATTAGACCGTAGTTGTAATAACTAACTAATATATTTCGCGTTCTAAACAGTTGAAAGTGTTACATTGATATGCTATTCGCGTAAACTGCTAGATAAACTTTTTTTTAGAATAATTATTATTTAAAATCAATAGAAATAGTGAAATATATTTAGATATTCCCAATATGTCGGTTGTAAGGTTCGAATCCCGTGGTAAAATAAAGTATTTCGGCAGAGCACAGATGCACCTTTTCTGTAAAAAATAAGTGTCACTGATCACTTATTTTTTAACAGACACAAACAGTTCGTATTTATCCACGGACATTTGGAATTATACCTCTTGTAAACGTAGGCATTTTATTTTTGTCGATTTTTTCATGTAAGCCAAATCTAATCAATCTAAAACAATGACAACTAGATGGCATACGGCCCATAAAGATAGGCTTATCAGCCTTTCCCATGCAATTAATCACTGAAGCCGTGAAAACACTACTATTTACTTCAAGGAAAAACTAAATTTCGCAAGATTATTATTCACTTATCGTGAATTTTCTGAAAATACTTGATTTCAGATGAGGTCATCTCAATAAAAAAATACCTGACGGGCTTGTTGGTCTAATAGCTATTAATCAACGTTGGTGCGATCCCGACCGGGTCCAGAATTTTTCTGGAAATCTGGATATTAAGTGGGTGGTAGGAATATAGAAAGTCCGTCCGGGTCATAAAGCACCGTCCACAAAGAAAAAGCCGTTAAGCTTAATCGTGTTTCGGTTCCAGTCTGTGGATTTCCGAATATCTAAAGCCAAAATAGATCGACAGCGCGCGCATCTTGTTTGGGGTAAATCACCCAACATCAAGTGAATCAAATGCTTGAAAAAAAATAAAATAAATATATTAGGACACAATTAGAGAAAATGAATGAAATTCTAACTCATAGCTTTAAAAGGACGCTTCTTATTTCCGTTTCCACCTAAATTATATAGAAAAAATCCCTAAATACATGTCCTATATATTAATACTAAATCCCAAAATGCCGGAACGCTTATACTTGTAAATTACTTTAATATCAATTCCTTCTACCGTCGTTCTAAAGTAGGTAATATGCAGAATATAATCTTGGTACGGAATTGGCGATAAAATTTTATAGCGAAATCTCGACAAAGCGAGGGTTACCATATTTTTGTGGTACAATGGTACATTTTTATAATTCATTCATTATTCATGCAACGCCAATAAAAATCTATATACTATAATAACATACTGTCTATAGCTTACGCGGGTAGTACGCATTGAAATAAATCACTTTAACGGTATAAAACGCGATATATTAGTTATTTAGTAAAAAATGATATTTAACTTCGGCCTCACGTTTCGGGTGTCTCCCCGTGACACGGCTGCTGCAAAGCAGCCAAAACGTCGGACTGAAGTTAAAAATCATTTTCAAATAAGTTTAACTGATATATTGCGTTTTAAACCGTTAGAGTGTTTTATTTAAATCTACTATTATAACAGCCAGTATTAAACTCGACAACATGTGTTCTTAATGATCGTTGTCTTTGAATGATAGTAATACAAAATAAATAGGTCAACAGCACATTTTAATACATACATTTGGCTACGGCTCTTCTACCATTAAATGATTAATAGATAATTGTATTAAAGAAATTATTAGTTTTATTTTATTGCAACTCAGGCAAACGAAGTGTTAAGATGAAAATTGCTTATGCAACCGAGGATTAAAAGTGTCCTATTAAAGCCAACATGGTCACCCTACCTGAGGTAAAATGTATGTTAATGTTCGGGAATATCCTTATATTTTAGATAAAATACGATTTACCCATTACACCGTTTTCTTCATTATATTATAGTAGAATCTTCAATAGCTTAGACATAATTAAAATATTTATTATAACATAAACAACGAAAGACAATCCTCATAACGTGTCGGTCATGAGGATTGTCTTTTGTTTTTCGCGATCTTTGCAGTATGCAATATTAGGTCACAGACGGTGCATGTTGTTTCGACGTAATATGACTGGGGTTTTCAAATTTCATGTTGTTGTCCTCTATCGTAATAAAGGGTCGGATTGTAATTTTTTTTAAAGCTAGTGTCCTCTGTTTAAAAAATTGCACATCAGAAGTCATAAATAGTTTTAGCCAAACAAAAACACATCTTATCAACTACTTCTTAGCTAAAACTGAGTCAAAAATATGCCTTATTGCTTACTATAGCAGTGTGTTGAGTACACGCCCCCGGAACAGAAGTTCTTTCAGTAATTATAGAAACAATAGCGCTCAACGAAACTCGGTCACAATTCAAACGTTAATACTAAACAAATGCAATCATAATTTATTTTGTGACATTTACAACTCCACGTTGTTTTGTTTGGCAGGTCACAACGCGCTGGAATTAGAAACTGCGTCGTTAGCTTCAGTGTGTTTTAATTATTGTTTGAATACGCCTTCAAATCGAATTTTACACTTTACTAGCTGAGTCAGCGACTTCGTCCGCGTAGAATAGTTATTTGGGGCACCCAAAATTGTTTACCTACGTCATCGGACATTTTCGCAGCGTACACATCGGAAACCTTCACCATCGTTTCTTTACTCTTATTAGTCACGGCGCAATTTTTATAGCCTATAGCCTTCCTCGATAATTGCTCTAACCAACGAAAATATAATTGTTCAATTCGAACCAGTAGTTAATGAGATTAGCGCGTTCAAACAAACATACAAACTCTTCAGTGTTATGTGTTATTAGGTATAGTATAGACAGATGTAATTAAAACAGATGTAACTTTTGACACAATTAATGTCTTTTGATTACAAATCAAAATTAAATACAAATTTTAATCCTTTTAGCAAACACTTAAATGAAGTGGTTTACATAAAAAAAGATATAAGCACATTATTTACCAAAAAAGAATATAAATACATGATATCTTCTATCCGCTACATTTGATCTCTATTTCAATGTATTTTCTTTTAGTTCTTTACAGTAGGTATCTACTTATCTCTAATTAAATATAGTAGATTTTAAATTATTGCAATTGAATATGAGAAATTGTATTAAAGATACTGTCTGTTGTTTTCGCGCGTAGTACACATTTAAGTAAAATACTTTAACGGTTTAAAACGCGATATATTTTAGTTAGACTTGTTTGAAAATTATTTTTAACTACGGCCTGACGGACAGATGTGATGCACAGCTGGTTCATATATTAGATATATGAACATAGATATACGTTCAACTAAAATATATCGCGTTTAAACCGTTAAAGTGTTTTATTTTAAATAAAACACTTTAAGGTTTTAATCAAGAAAAGGACAGACAAGCACAGGTTTGCATAATAAAAGCTTCAGCTATATAACATGACCAAAATGTGCTGTCGGCCCATTTGGTTTTTAACGTGGATTTGGGCTTTGTAATCAAATTCATCATCTACATATGAGCCCGTATAACACTCCTTTTTATATGACAATCTGACATTAGCCATAATATTATCTGTACAATCCACAGAGTACAAATGTCCTCCCGCGTAGTACAGAAATATAACCCGCAATGTGGTCTAGCACGTGTTTCACTAGACAACTTTGTTAGTTTATTGTGTACTAGCTGATCCGGCAAACGTTTTGTTGTTCGCAAGATTTTATGTTGTTATTTATACAAGTCTAGGAATCATGCTTTAATTTCGACTACATTGAATTTCCATACAAACGATTCTCGCAAGTTAATCTTACAACAGCACGAAACGCTCATGCCTGTTCAAGTCCTGCCCGAGTCGAAAATTTTTTAATTTTTTTTTCGGTTATTAAATTAGAAATATACTGTCTTTGTAATACCCACCAACACTGGGGGAATTAACTGTGTAAATTTTGCGTTCTTTATCTGTTAAAAGTGTTTTATTAAACATTCGTATCCCCTTACCAATCTGTTTAAAATGTGGTGTTAAAACAGTGCCCCATGATTACTTTTATACGTTCAAACTTCTATCAAACACTGCCCTTTTCCGTTTATTTGAACTAAATTGAGTTAGTACGTTGGAGTATGGAATGAATGTATGAAACTTTATCCATAACAACTCATAATATTCTACTAATATTATAAACGTGAAAGTTTGTATGTGTGGATGGATGTTTGTTACTCTTTCACGCAAAAACTACTGAATTGATTTCAATTAAACTTTCCACTAAATATAGCTTATACATCATAATAACACATAGGCTACAATTTATAAAGATATTGTGTGAGCTGTCCAAAATATGAGATTAAGTGTCAAGTAACTAGGAAAAAACCTACCTTTCTTCGTATACGTTAGTTACACATATTTCTGTCATAATGTTAGTTCTTTTCTACGCCACGCTAATATAAGCTACTCCAAATACTAATCTTGCGTAGACGAAGTCGCGGGCAAGAGCTAGTATTCATATAAATTCCAAATCTTATCTATTTACATGAACGGCTTAAGCCAAAGCATAATTGAGTCTGTAATTTGTCTTCCTGTTAGATTTATTCGTTATGACCTTGCTATATTAAAAATATTCTTAAAATTGTATTATTGTAACTAGTATCATAATATGCGACCGCCTTTATTACTTTAAAGTTTAAATAGTAAACGCGTTGCCTAGCTTTGCATTAAGCTCGAATGGACCTAGGCTTTGAATCCCGGGAAAACGGTTAATCGTTACCATCTGGGAAGGCACTGAAGTCTGATCAACTAAGTTTTGTCGGTAGTTTAAATAAACACATTTAACGGTTCGAAACGTGAAATATATGTGTTATTTACCTGCAGCAACAATGTCCCCCCGCGACCACGGCGTCTGCAAACGATCTGAAACGCCTTAGTTAAAATTAATTGCAAATAAGTAAATTCATATATAGCGAGGCTTAATCCGAAGCCAAAGTTGATCTTTAGCACATATAAATCATATGAAGGCTGGAGCATTTTACCGTCTATCAAAACTCAAGCTTATACCGTAAAAAACGCGCAATGTAATTTCTACCTTAACACATGCGTTTTATGGTTTAATGTCTTATGTTTTGCCGCTTAAGAAAATGATTGAACATGAAACTACAAAGTTTAACGTTTGAAAACTTTAATATTTTTCACATGAAATTGCATATGATGGTGATCTAACCTGTGAAAAAAATATTAAAGTTCGTAATCGTATCATAATCTGTCATATTAGTAAGAAGAGTACATAAGTCTATTTCGAAATATGCCTTATGCCCCAATACCAAGTCATTCGTAAATATGTCCATTGACAATAACATAATGTTACAAAATCTCTACAATTAAACCGGATATTATCAATTGTGCCTCAATAGAAACTAATGTGGAAGGTTACCGCACAATGTGGTCGAACCAACCTTGCGTCGTGTTAAATGTTTATTTATCTTAAATATAATTAAAACTAAGATGTTTATTGTAATTAAGTTTATAATCTTTATTAATGCCTTAATTTTATTATATTACCATACTTTATACGAAAATAGATGTTATATAATAAAAACAAAATGGAGGTCAGTTTTAATTATTTCCGGAATCGTAGTTTTTAGTACCCGTTTCGTGTTGTTTCATTTAATTTATAGAAAAACTAACGTTTTGAAAGACTTTAAAATCTGACTCTTTAATTTCCGATTTTTAGACTATGCGTTCAAAGCAATAACTTTCTATGTAAACGCCGGGACTTAGTTTAATAAAAATTTTAAATAAGTTAGCTAAGCTTTCGAGTTTTAAACCGAAAAATGTCTTACTTAAAGGGTAAACTGGTTATTAACGCGTTACTGTACTGTCGTGGGCCTATGTTCAAGGTAACCTACCCCCTCTTCTGTCGGGGGTCCCGAAACGTACAATTTTTTGTGGCATTTTTAATAATGATTTTCTTTAATATAACATGGCTTAATGGATTTTATTTAAGTGTAAATCGCAAGAACAAGACTATTAAATTAGAGCGAAGCAAGTTAACAAAGCCAAGTCGACAGGCGAAGTTGTGTTCCCAACAATGCTCCTTTGTTTACGCGTAATGGATGTCCTTTGTAATTTTGAGGTTATAATTTTTAATTGTTTAATTTATGTCGTTAATTGAGCCTTTCATATCGGGATCAGTTATTATAAAATAACGTTGAACAAAATTCCATATAATATTTTTCCACTTTCGGGGACAAATACTACAGTTCAGTACAGGCAACACAGAAATAAAATTGTCAATACCAAATCTTGATCGGTACATTTCATTCTTTAAAGATTTGTATATATGTATTGATAGAAATTATCAATGTTATAAATTTTCTTAAAAGTAGAGTTGTGAAAACGCTAAAATTAATATAATTTGATTATTTAAAGAAATTTTAACTTTAAACGTGCACACAATGTGCATATTATAAAAAAGCACATTGTGTAAAAATTATTCAAGTGGTTTTAAATATTCGTGCAATGTACGTACAATGCACAGTTGTATTTTTTTGTACCCCAAAAAAATATCTACAAGGATCCAAAAAGTCTTTCAAAACGTCTGTTTATCAATTTCAAAAAAATTGCGCAATTTAAAGCACAATAGTTTAAGGCGATGTAATATTATACAAGTTATTTCTATGAGATTATTAAAAGGTGGGATCGTTATGTTTGTTCGTTCGTGCAACAGAACTTTATAGCATTTTAATGTTGTTCAATCAAGCGATACACTATTATAACGCACCTGCTTTTAAGTGATGCGAATAATTTTTTAATCCAATATTTATATAGACCGTGTTTTTGTTCAGTTCTAATTGATTTTATATACGAAAAGATTTAGGTCCCAACCTAAATAACTCAAAAAATTTCTTAACTTTTCCAACGTAAAATGCGTGTTTGTAATCAAATCTTATTATTATTTAATTATAACGCCATCTTTCGTTTAATAGAAGCAAACTGGATTTTAAGACGTTTTTTCGTTTTAAAATACGTACTAAATTTAGAAGAAAACCAAAACCAGCTTATGTTACTCTTATACTTTTAACTTGCTGAGCTGTGAATATTATGTAAAAAAAAATGGTAATTTAATTGCTTACTTACGGAGGAAGGAAGACATATTTCCACTTATAACATAACGTATAAGAATAGTGTCATCGCAGCAAAGAACAACGCGTCATTAATATGTTCAGGTCTTTTGTCCGCAGAGCTATCGTGGTCGTAAACCCCTGGGTGGTACAGTAGTTGCGCCAGTCGGGCTCAGTCCGGGCCCCGCAGCGGCGTCTCCGGGTCCTGCTGCTCCTGCTGCTCCCAGTCCATCACCAGCCACCACCCCTGCCATGAAGCAGGAACATCCTAGCCAACCGATGGTAAGTTATTTCCGTGCCTATTAAGAGTCTACTTGAGTTCACTGGTGCGACCAATAATTAAAATCGACTATTAATTCCCGGTGCACAAATCTATGGCCTCCTCATCACAGTCGACAAAACTCCGCAAGTTGACATTTAAAGGTCTCTTAACATCAATATTTTGTAGTGGTAACACCTAAATAATTTCACTTAATAATTTAAAAATAAAATTGAATAAAACGGCAACATCAACGAAACCTTTTGTTGCTGAGAATTATTTAATTTTAATCCTTTGTCGTGCAACTCGATAAGCTAATCGACCTTTTTACAATTAAAACGGAAATCCCTTTGTTACAAAGGGATCAATTTAATCGTGGACTTTATTTATATAAGTTGCTTGCTGGTTATTAATTGTAATAGGAATTACGTTGTTAATTTTTAAACATGTAGTACATACCGTTATGAACATCAGCCCACTATTCCCACGGCTGGGAACACCCGTGTGAGGAATTTAAAAAAAATCATTTTCTTTATTCACCTATAACAAAATATTGTATAATTTGATCCTAAAACATATGTTGCTCACCTAATAAATTCGGAATGTTTTTAATTTGCGCAGAACGCAAAAGTTTAGCGATACAGCGCGCACTGGAGTGAAATTTATCGCTTTTAATTTAAGCTGGATAACAATTTGTTATATTTTCGCTCGCCTTCTGCGGTTTGATACATTTTACTGTTTGTTACACAGGTAGAGTCCAATCAGCGTCCCTCGTATATCTGTTTATGGCTTAAACAAAAAAAAAATGCTGTCAGAAAACTTTAAAGCTTATATTTAAAGTATTAAGACAGGTAAACTTACTTTAGCGTTGATCAAGTCTTTGCGTTAAGCAACATAGCGGTCCTGGCTTCAAATCCCGTGGAAACATAACAAATTTGATCATAAATAAAATCGATCATTAAAATAGACTCAGAAATATTACAGGCCCATTCTTCGCATAAGGTTAATAGATATTTAAACATAACACTTTTAACGGTTTAAACCACCAAATATATTAAGATCTAATATTCGGGTCCGGGAATGCGGGACCTCCCTGACCACAGCTGCTGCAAAACATCCGAAACGTCAAATCGTATCAAAAATATGTTAATAATTAAGTGTTTTAAGCAGTCAAATGTGTTTGATTTAAATTTTTAGGTACTCGTACACACGGTAATAGGGATTTCACAATGAACAAATAAACCTTTTTATTGTTTAAAAACATCTTTCTTCAATTTTATTAAAACCTTGTAAACAAACGAAATAAACCAACTTTTTATTAATTCTCACTGCCAAGAAAACATTACAACTTTTCGAAAGCAAAACTTCGACGTAAAATTAAAATTTCGAAGTTACTAACTTCTTAGATTAAGAATTAATGGTAACAAATGCACAATCTAAAATAACTTTTCTTTTAAATCGAAACATATAAGCTCTACTTTAATCGAACAATTTTGTTCATTGAATGCGACAATATTAAACATGATAATGCTTTTAAAAGCAGACTTACTACACTAACCTATAAATATCTTTGGTATCTCGCAGATGTAAGACGAAGTCGATATATAAAACCAATTTAATTCAAAGATAATTTCCCAAAATCCAAACTAAATAAAACACGTGTCTTTTGCACATGGCGGACATATTCTTGTATCAATTTAGGTTCAAAGAATTTACTTTCATAAGATCGATTCAATTAACTAGGTATTTATAAAAATACTTAAAATTGTATTTACATAGCGAGTGGTTTACCTGATAATAAAATAAACTATTTTATATAAAGATGACGTCGTCCATTGATCAATGCTACATTTACAAGGAAACAACTTCTATAACATAAGTTTAATTTTTTAAAACGCGAAAATATTCGTTAAACTTCTAACAAAACACTTTAACTGTTTAAAACGCGAAATATATAAGTTCAACTTCTATAACATAAAACACTTTAACGGTTTAAAACGCGAAATATATTAGTTAATCTTCTTTTAAATACAACACTTTAATTGTTTAAAAGACAAAATATATTACTTGTCTTCTTTTAAATAAAACACTTTAACTGTTTAAAACCCGAAATTTCTTTGATAATTATTTTAACTAGTAGTTTTCGTTTCGAATGCTTTGCAGCAGCCGTGGTCACGGGGAGACTTTTTAATACCAAAAAACTGTACTATCTGTGAACAAACAGCGTGATAAAGGGTCAGTCTAATTAGATATATTAAAAAAATGCACACAAGAACGCATTAACTAGAAACGTTTCCACGGAAAAGAAAATTAATATCTCGTCTCCTGCAAAGAGAACATACATCTTTTGAAGTTTTCCTAATTACACGAAGTTAAAAGTTAGTGCGTGCGTTCAAAGACTCGACTCACGAGCACAACAGCTGTTTTTATGAAGCTCAAACACTTAAGTCGAGTTATAACTTAGTTTAAAAGCTTACTTAAACATAACTTACTTGAAATGATTTACCGCGTGTGTTTTAAAGCTTAATTGGATCCTAGGCAATTCAAATTCAAAACTTATAACTAAATATAAGTAATAAATATATATAAGAGATGGCGCTTGATAGATACATATGTCATCTCCTTAGAACTAGTTCTAAGAGGCGGAGGCAATTGTTCTCTTTGATCTAGTGGTGTAAGCCCTGGCTTTTGTGGGATAGTCTTATACGTACTGAATCTAAGGAGAAGAAAAATATAAAAAAAACTCTGTATATCTCTAGATAGAATGCACAAACATACTAGCATAATTTCAAAATACATTGTATTTATAATTGCACGCCCTCTCTCGTTAACTACTGAAAACTTGTAGGTTCCACTTAAAATTTTTTGTTACGGGCAATAGTTGTTACTTTCGTGTAATTTCTATCTGTTTAAACTGTTATATTAATTTATACAACGTTAATTATTAAAAAACGTAGACTTTCAAACATATGTTGAAGGTTTGTGCAGCGAGTATGGCAAAAACATTAAAAGAAGTTATGAAGGATGATTCAGTGACCACGGCTCCTGCAAAAGAAATACATTTTGCGTTTTAACCCGTTAAAAATGCTTTATTTAAATGTACATAATAGTCGGTGAAGTTATTGGACTTAGTTGCCAAGGTAAAAAGCGTGTTAGTTATCGTTTTTTCTAAGCGAGGTCAGCGTTCGACCTCGTATTATATCTAATTATGTATAAGACACATATTATAACAATGATGATCCGTTACCATTATTCTAATTTAATAATACCTTTATATAACATCTTTTACGTAGGACATGTTTTTTGTAAAGGAACTTCTTTTAATAAAAACTTTTTCTATAGGGACGAGTCATTATATCTTCTCACTACGGCATGACAGTGATAGTAATAAAGTCATAGGTTTGAATTCCGCGGCACATCAATGTTTTCATCTGTATTTGCTTATCTCATCTAGTGTTGGGACTCGTTAAAGCTCACCAACCCACATTGGAGCGGCGTGGTAGATCTAAGGTCTTCAAACGCGTCCAGCGGTATTAATAAATTAAAAATGACAGTAAAATATACAAATGTGTGTCACATACAAACTAAGTAATATTATGTAGTTTTTACCACTTAGTTTTCGTATAAATATGTGGTTTGATACTTGTTTAAATTAGTTAAACATATTTAACAGTCTCCCCGTGAAAACGTGAGGCACTAGTTTAAATAATTTGTAAATAAGACTACCTAATATATATCGCGTCTTAAACCGTTATTCAAATACTAAATATACAATTCATTATATACATCGTTGCCCGCGTATTCTTGACTCTTGTAAACAATGGCCGAAGTCTAGTGACGACCTCGTCCGCATTACCATAATGTTGTAATGTGTGTCAAATATTAAAATAGCTATTCCACCTTTGTACTTGAGAATTGTTTGTTCTTAACTTGCCTGAAACAGTAGTATTACTACATATTAATTTATTGTCACCTATTGTTTTATGATAGAGAAGGACAGACGTGGCCCCCATGCTCTACGTCTGTCCTCCTCACTTCATGGTAGGTGATACACCTTGCCTTTAACATCTAAACAAGAGGCACTGTCACTGATTTTTCATAAATATTAAACAAACAGATCAAAAAGGCTCCACAGATTATCATTTGGCTAATTAACTTTATCTACCTAAATTGAATATTTTTTAAATGTGAACCATTTGTGCAATAATCACTTTTTTTTTATTCAGGCCCCAATGCCGTTCTACGCGGGAGATCCGAACAGGTTTCCCACTACTTGGCAGACGGATCCATCACAAGGTACGTATAATTTATAGATCTTTATTAATCGCTACGACCGTTCGATCTCTACCACGTGTGGCATTTTATTCAATTCGTGGTATTTTAAATTAAGAATACATGTTATAATACGTTTAGTCTAACAGTAGCAATGTACGCCTAATAAACAACGGGTCGTGGATTCGAATTCGAAATTTTAAAGATGTTCGACCCGGTAGGGATCGGGTCGAACATCTTTAAAATGTATAATTGTTTTGATACATGTTGGAATTCGTCTGGAAATTTGGATATTAAATGAGTAGGACTTTCGAAATTCTGTCCGGGTCACGAACCACCGTCTACAGATGAAAAAGCCATGTAGTTTAATCACGTTTCGGTTTCAGTCTGTGGGTTTCCGAAAATCCAAAGCGAAAATAGGTCGACCGCGCATCTAGTTTAGATGCTTAGGCTGGGGTATTTTACCTACCATCAAGGGAACCCCATGTCTGCCTGTCCTCCTGTATCCTAAAAAAACATTTTAAAAATTGATGCTACATAATATGTGCCACTAAAACTTCAGTCCGAATTCGCTAACAACATCGCGTACCCAAAACTCGTAATGAACGTTGACAGAAGGTTAGTAGAACCTATCACCCATGCTATGTAATTAGAGCGAACTGAGAGCGCGAATAGAATTTGTTTATGCTATAAAAATATTTTAATATGAGTAGACCAGAAAGCTATAGTCGATTTCTTTTTGAGTTAACTAAAATCTGTTATTGAAATTAGGTATGTTTAAGAATGTCAAAACGTCAATATGTCTTATAGCGCCCGTTAAAATGACCTCTATTCTTTTCAGGTTGGCAGAACCAATTCATCCAGCAATTGCCTACGCAAACCGGTCAAACCACATTGGACTACCAAGGCAACCACACGCCGTACGCCACCTCGCCCCACTACCAAGCTAACACCACGTACACCGTCCAGAATGTCGCCACCACGTTTGACGTCACGAGTAATACGTACTATCAGACAGGGGTACAAGCCGTGCCCACGCCGAGGCCGCCATCTAATCGAGGCGCCTACACCCCTGTGCCTTCACCGAGAGCTCCCCACTACACGACGGAGTACCAACAGCAATATGCCCAGCAGGCCCCCACAACCGGCGTCACGTCGGGAAACGAGTCTAGGCCGGCGTCTGCCGCTTCATACCAGAGCGCAGTACCGACAACGGCCGCACCAGTCTACACAGTCAGTCAACAGAATTATGAACGGTCAGAGTACTCGTCAGAACACTCCGAAGACTACAACAACGGCGGAGACAATACAACGAACGACTCGAACAACGATGGCGATAGACAAGAGCAAAGTTCCCAGAATGGACAGCATTCGGGAAACGCCGAGCCTGGATACCTGCAGGGGAGCAACGGTCCGCGAGCTTCACTCGATTGTAGCGGGTATTCGGGCGGCTACACTAGCGGACAGCACAGTGATAATAGTCAGTCACAAAACCAAAACGAATGGCAACAGCGACAGTGGCATAACCAAAGAATACAAAACCAACAGCAGATCAACCAAATCCAAAATCAACAGCAGCAATTGCAAAATCAAATTAACTACCAAAATCAACAGATACAAAACCAGCAAATGCAAAATCAGCAAATGCAAAATCAACAAATACAAAATCAACAGATACAGAACCAACAAATGCAGAATCAACAGATGCAGAATCAACAAATGCAAAATCAGCAATTGCAAAATCAGCAGATGCAAAATCAACAATTACAAAACCAACAGATGCAGCAGCAAAGACAGGAGGAATCTGAGCAACAGATGTTCTCCCAATCGGACAGGGTCAATTTGAACTCGAGACTGAAAACAATGATATTAAATAAGCAGAATCATACGCGCGATGGTACCAATACGCCACCCGATAAAGGGGATCCTGGAGAAGGACCGCCTAGAGGGCTAGACGATAGAAAAGGCTGCGTTTCCATCGCTGACGATAGAAATACTACCGGTCATTTTTTATCGTATAGCCACCATCTCCGAGGTAATTACCACATAGGCGATCAGGTATATCCTGTCGCCGGTAATTATTCACAAAACGCCCACGTTTATAGAACGGGTGAATTCGGAGGTGGTGGCCACCACGTATGGGAGGGGGGGACGCAAGTCTCGAGAGATTATAATAAGCACAATTCGTCAGACCAAACCAAAGCTCCTCAAAAGCTGCCGTCGTATTCCGATATGAGAGGCCAATACAATAGTTATACGAATGTACAATACGACGCGCAAAAATGTACTGAAATGTATGGTAGTGATAATGTTAGTTTTAGTCAGCAGACAGATAGTAAAGATTTTCAGTCGAAAATGCTTATTGGACCAGTTTCTGAAATGAATCAGCAAAATTGCGCGACATCGCGCGACGTGAACGCACAAAAACGAGCGTATGATAGGGAAGCGTATGATGCAAAGTTTAAACATCCTTCTGCGCCGTTAATACCTAAAATAGAAGCACCAGATACTTACCCTTATCAAAAAGAAGAAAAAAAAGAACCTCATCGGATGGCTAAGAATGTGTACCCTATTCAAAACAGTATAGATCCCCAACGCGATTATCAAAACGGATTAGTACAAAGACCGCACCACAGTGTACTTCCGCCTATATCCACTATAAAAAACGAAACGTTCGTTCAAAAACCACAAACCTTCCAGCATTTCCAAAACTACCCACAAGACAGGAGACAGGAAGTGAGCGAAAATTACGCACAGATGCCGCGGTTGCATGAAAACGCCGCATTCCAGAGATATCAGAGGAACATGGAGACGAAAATCAATATAGACAACGATAATCGAAGGTCATTTAATGACACAGGTGAGCCAAAACCGCCTTACTACATAGAACAAATCAAATCTGAACATTCTCCGCCGGGCCATAAGATTTATAAGAACATCAATTTTGGTCCACCGCGAAACGAACCGTATATGTTTGCGGGTGACGGCGGGCCCGTAGCTATAAGAAACGAAGCCGGATACGCTTGCTGTAGACAAGGATCAACCAAGAAGCCACCACCAGAACACTTAAGAGACGGTGCGTGCCCGGGACTTCAGACTAAAGATGAAATACTAGAAGGCGATTCAGAAACGGATAAACCAGACCCTAAGACGCCAACAAAACCCAACTCGCAAACATTAGATGCGCAAGCGAAGAATCCAAAAGAAAATCAATTTAATTACTCAAAAGAATACCTTGATAACCTCGAACGTTTACGGAACAATTCAAGAACAGAAGTACCGGATTGCAATTGTTTTCCAGTTGATAAGAACCCACCGGAACCGGGCAGTTATTATACCCATTTAGGTTAGTAATACAAAAAAAAATATCATTGATTACGTATATAATGATAATATTTTAGAAAATTTAAAAAATCAAATATTAATAATCTAAACACTTACGTAAACTTCAGTTTAAAAGTAAGTAGAAAATAACGCTTGGCAATGCGATTTTTTTTTTCAAATAGTCTATTTTATCTGCACCATAAATAATTTTTTAACTTTTTAACTCTGTTCGTTGTTGTTTGTAATACTTCTGTAGGAGTTATTTTGCTTGTTTATTAATCATGCATTAAATTGTAGGAGCGGCGTCATCTCTCACTGAACTAAGGAAGGATTTGGAAGCAAGAACAGGGCTATCTGGCAAAGAACTGAGGATAGAGAAGATATGTTATACAGGCAAAGAGGGGAAAACAGCGCAAGGTTGCCCCATGGCTAAGTGGGTGAGTGTATGGATCCAAATTTTCTTATATTACATTTTATCTATTTTGAGAAATTTTTAAGGAATTAAGGATATTAATGGTTTCCTAAAATTCTGTTTCTATTATAATAATAGTAATTGAAATGTCAATTTATCAGCAGATAATTGATTCATTCTTATATCTAGTCAGTTTTAGTTGGGTTATTATTTATTACTAGCAGTGTCCGAGACTTCGTTCTGCGTCGAAAGACCTGGGGTAGAATTTCTAATTATTTAGGCTGTTTAATAATTTCATCTAATGCGCATTTACGCAGCCAATCTTTTGCAAGTAAGGTGAGAGCGTTGCGGCAAAGTAGTGTGCACACTCTTTCTCATGTCACATCCTCTACTCTAACCCCACTCTGTACATCACTTCTGATTCTAAATCTCGCTCCCAGCCCCACTTTCGACGTGAAAAGCAAAAGAAGAAAGTTTCATTGTTCGTAGGTGATTGAAACAACGAATTTCTATACAAATTTTGACACAGTTACAATAATAAGTTTTATTTAATCATTAACTAACATACTATAGGGAGGTGAGGTAATAAACTTTTCGTTATCGCGGCAATCGTTTGTAGGTGATTAAATATCAATAAACATTCGCACACAGTTATTATGTATAAATACTAATTTCTTTTAAGCTTATAATAATATATCTTTACTATTTCAGGTTATAAGACGAGCAAATTACACAGAGAAGGTTCTGGTGGTAGTGAAATTCAGAAACGGACATAAATGTGCCACAGCTTGGATAGTTGTGTGCCTGGTCGCGTGGGAGGGAATTCCCCAATCGGAGGCAGATTTGGACTACACGCTACTATCGCACAAGTTGAATAGATACGGCCTACCGACAACTAGACGCTGTGCTACCAACGAAAACAGAACTTGTGCCTGTCAAGGTAAGACCAATAGGAAATCTTGATCCCGTCTATAGTTTACGCGAGTAGTACACATTTAAATAAAACACTTTAACGGTTTAAAACGCGATATATTAGTTAAACTTATTTGAAAATTATTTTTAACTTCGGCCCGACGTTTCGGATGCTTTGCAGCAGCCGTGGTCACGGGGAGACGAAGTTAAAAATCATTTTCAAATAAGTTTAACTAATATATCGCGTTTTAAACCGTTAAAGTGTTTTATTTAAATCTTGATCCCTTTTCGCAGCGCACGCAACGAAAACTCGCAAAGATAAATATTTATTGATATATGATAATTTACTCTGATTCTTCACAGGTCTCGATCCAGAAGCGTGCGGCGCTTCTTACAGTTTCGGCTGCTCCTGGTCCATGTACTACAATGGATGCAAATACGCCCGTTCAAAAACCGTCCGCAAGTTCCGGCTTTCGGTCAAGACAGAGGAGAGCGAGATCGAGGAGCGCATGCACGTGCTGGCGACACTACTGAGCCCTCTCTACATGAATCTTGCGCCTAGATCCTTCGAGAACCAATGCCAGTTTGAAAAGGAGGCGTCGGATTGTCGGCTCGGGTTTAAGCCAGGGCGACCGTTTTCTGGTAAGTGAAACTTTGAAAACTTCGATATTTTCCACACGTCATCGTCAATTTTATTGGCAATAAACAAAAATGCCTTTATTGATATACACTTTTATGCTGCTACGTACTTTTTTAACTTAATCTAGTTTCAACGTGCAAATTATTTATGTGCTATAGTAATAATATTTATATTTTAGATGATATATATATATAATATATATTTCATTAGGAACCCTCTCGGGTGTTGGCCTACTTCTAAGTTATCCATGCTTCCCGATTTTGGGCAGTTTCTGCCCATTGTGGGCCATCGATTGCGATTTGTCGTCGCCCCATCGTGGGTCTCCTTCTGACATGTATCTATTGAAGATTAAAAAAATCGACGATGAAGTGCGGGACACGGTAGCTAAATTGATTAGAGCAACAGAACGAAACGCTGTGATGCCGGTTAAAGACTGTCCGTGTCGAATTTTTTTTTCTAAATCTATTTTTATTTTAAATAAAACTCACCTTCTTTACGGAATATAAAAGAATATACCAAATATAATAATTTTTTTTAATCTTCCAGGTGTAACAGCATGCATCGACTTCTGTGCGCATGCGCATCGTGATCTGCACAACATGAACAACGGTTGCACGGCTGTTGTTACCCTATCCCGGCATCGAGCTCTGACCCCTCCAGCTGACGAGCAACTTCATGTGCTACCACTGTACGTTCTGGACTCGACGGATGAATTCGGGTCCAAGGAAGGTCAGGAAGAGAAGATGAAGAATGGAGCTCTGCAAGTGCTGGACAAGTGAGTGGTGATGTACAATATTTCTTACTATTAATTTACTTAGGATTTTATGTGCATACTTCTTATAAAAATATTTAAAACGGATGTATTATTTACTTGAATTAGAATACGTCTCTTTTAATTACAAAATTATATCTTTGCTTTCTCGGTACTTGTGCAAAAATATTTAAAACTTCAAATAACTATATAAAAAATTCATAACACACAAACCTATAATTCTGCTCACATCTCAACTGATTTGTTTTGTCAATTCTAGGTATCAAATGGAGGTCCGTGTTCGATCAGTGCCCCTACAACCCTGCAGACGTCATGGCAAAAAACGCAAAGATGAAGACAATTCCGAATCAAATTCCTCCACCAATACCCCTCAAGCTAGCCCTGGAAATCAAAAGAAATGTCCAACGCCAAGTCCCAAGACCCCACAACCTAACGATACCAGGAATATAGCTAGTCCAAGAAGTCAGAACAGTGCATCACCACGAGCGGGCACCCCTTTAAATCAATCAAATACATCAGCGTTTCAACCGAATCCGAATAGCGCCCACTACAACTCCGCGTTCGTTAATCCGAATATTCATAATGGCAATCCGAATCTCATCAATCCGAACATGAGCAATCCGGCTCTTTTAGACATGGCTTCGATGATAGATAACTTTACAGACGCACAACTACAAAGTAATCAGATATCCAGTACCGTATTGGATTCGCCGTACAACTCATTCGACCAAAGCTACAACCTTCATAGCCAAAATAATTTATACAATGCGAGTCACACTTCCCCAATGGTAGACCCGAATTGCCAAAATCAAAATCCCAGCCAAAATCTGCCAAGCTTCGCGGGTATGCAGAAACGTGAACAATTTAGCACCCCTAGCGTGACAGATATGAACAATACCCAGAATCAATGGCACGACTTCGCTAATCCCGAAATGTTTAGCAATATTGTTAAAGAAGATCCAGACTCGACTACCGCCCATTTAAACATGACCCCGACTAATTATAGTCCAGATTCCAATAGAAGTGAACCTAATAACGACCAATTAAAGAATACACCAGAGACGGATAAACAAAGTCTTATACCGGATCTCAATCAAAAGTTACCGGATTTTGATATACCCAATTCTCCCAGGGTGACAGATATGTCTCTGAGGCCCCACAATACACCAGAATCACCTTCGCACATCGGTGACAACAAATCGCCGATTAGTAACGAGTCCCCTACGTCTATCGACGCACGAAAAAGTGTTTGGAAATCGCCCGAACACAGAAATTGGGACCCGACGAAACTCAAAGATGCGGGAGACAATGAAAATGCGGTATTCAGGGTACCTAAATCTCGCCCACCCTCGAGATCGCATGTAAACCTACCCGAAAATTTAGACCAGTCTACTTTTTTAAAACCCTATCCTCCGTCAGAGAGACCGCAATTAAGTCAAGGCTACGATCATAGAAGTCCATATGACGCGCGGGGACCTCAAACACCCACCACTCAAAGTAACTTTACTATCAATCATGAGGAAACCAATCAAAACACCTCACAAAATAAATCTGAACAAGCTCCTAACAATTATCCTACGAACCAAAACGCATATGGAAATCAATCTCCGGTGCAGAATTACAACAATTATCCCACCGTCGGAAACGCTTATGCGTTTCCATCGAACCCTTACGGCCATTTTAATCCCTACGAAAACTCCTACAATGAATACTATTACAACGCCGAGAAATATAAAAGGGAAGAATTAATAAGAAATTCCCACTGTTATAATTCGTATGGTTATCAGTATAACCCAAACTTTCCACCGAATTTCTATCAAAATCCAAGTCCCAACTGGTGCCAGTCGTCTCCTAACTGGTGTATATATCCACCGCCGTTTTCCATACCGTATCCACCTGAGCCTCCTAAGGCAGAACCTATAGGTGAAGTTACCGGGGTGTCAGACAATTTAGATTGTTTCAAAGACAGCCAAATGGGAGGTGTCGCTATAGCATTAGGCCACGGCAGTGTCCTCTTCGAATGCGCCAAACATGAGATGCATTCCACGACCGCTGTAAAAAATCCGAATAGGTCTAATCCGACACGAATATCTCTAGTCTTTTACCAGCATAGGAATCTTAATCGTCCCAAACACGGTCTCGAGGAGTGGGAAGAAAAAATGAGGCTAAAGAAACTCGGTTTAAATCCTCCGACGCCTGGAACTCCTGGTCCCAATTCTAACACAGTTTCCCCAGCAAGCACCCCGGGCCCTGAGCAGAGACGGACTCCGAACTCGGAGAAGTGGAAAAATAACGAAAATTACATTCCGGGCGGGTACAGCTCGCTATCGGCTCTGGTGGAAGCCACTAACGTAGCGAAGAAAAAGGGCCAAATCATGTTGAGGGCCGATACGCAAACGACGATGTCTTGGACTACGCTATTTCCGATGCACCCCTGCACCGTAACGGGTCCGTACCAAGAGTCCGGCACCTGACGCAAGCCTGGCCCTGCGGGCCAAAGTTCTTCCAAACGACGGAGTGAAATCCCTTCCTTAGCTATGTAAGGTGTACGTTGCCTTTCGATCAGGTCTTCTGGAGCCCGTTCGTCACGACCGTTTCGTAGTTCCTCGCTATAGGATAAGCCCGATCTTTCAGACAGGTCCACTGTTCCCCTGAGATTCCTCTAGTGCATTTACATTTGGAATTGACTACCAATTTTATCGCGTATTTTTTTAATCAAGTGAGCTATCAATCAAAGATATATTTTTACTTTTAGTAGTGTTTATCGCATTTCGACTAGTCTTACGTTATTAGTATCGAATCGTATTGTTTAAGACGGTAACTGTAGTTCTTTTGTATATTCTCGTTTAGTTTAGCCGATGTCTCAAATTATGGTTTAATACGCTCTGTGTAAGATTCCTTAGGATTTGTCTGCATATTTTGACGGTTTTATTTAGGCGCACTTTATATTGTGCGATGCAATGATCTCATTAACTACAATTAATTCCTTATTCGGAGCGGAAGTACAAAGGCCGCTTGGAGCCATCTGACGGTTCGTGTTTATTTGTATTTTTGTACGTTTATCTGTGTATTGTGTATTAGTTACGTTTGTTTAATTTTACGACCATTCCTCGGCCGTCGGACGGCGGCCGCTCGCGTTATTACTAAAATAGTATGTCGGTCTGTATCACGATATTGAGTGCTTTTCTATTAGGTTAAGTCGTGTGTATTTTTAACTTTTTAGAATATTTAACTTATTTATATTATTGTATTACGTGAACGATTATCGAATCATTTTCTTTGTAATAATTTAGTGTTATCGTAGGTATTAATATTTAATATATTTGCTTTTACATCTGTGACGATGAATTATTAGGATTGTTTTGCGACTTCGAGCCTCGTTTACTTTCTATTCTAGTGCCTGACCGGCCTCGACCGGAGTCTTCGTAATATTTAGATTTAAAAAATCATTTTCGAACTTTCAAAATGTGACCTTATATTTTATGAACTACACGGATGAACTTTTCTAATTTTTAGCGATGATAAAATTTTATAAATTAGTCATACAATAAAAGATGAGTAAATAAGTCTATATAATAGTGTTTGCGAAAAAATTCAGGCGCTTGGAAAGTTTATAGAGTAGGCATTATATTGAAAAATGAAACATACTGATGAATAGTTATTAATATATAATTAGGGTAAGAAAAGTTTGTTTTAAAGATTAAACTATTGATATAGTTTATATTTTTTACGTGTACGTATTTATTGAATGGTAAATTTATTGGGACGAACGTGAAATTATTTATAGGTTAAAAGTTTTGAGAGCAAAACTTATAAAAACTAAGCAATAATAGACGTCGTGTCTATGTACATTGTAATGTAGGAGTGAAAAGTAACTTAAAAAACGAATGGTGCGATATTGTCGTCGATCTTATGGGTGTGCTTATATCAATTTGTAATCGTTTGCCTAAAGTTCTGATATTATTTGTATTGTCGGTGGATGCCCGTTTCTTGCCACGGCACATCGTAACGTCTTTATTTAAGACATATCAAAGCAATCAACGTCATCACATGTCTATCACGAAACAAATTAATAATCGATGGTGGTATGCGAATTGAGTGTTAAACATCTAAGCATAAGTTTTACGGTATGTACTGTGTTCTCAAATTTCGTGCCACCATATCACACGAATAAATCATGTACCATAAAATAGTTTTAGCTTACAAGTAAATCCAATGTGGGACTGCATTCATCTATTAGTGCCTATTAGATATTGTATGTAATCTGTGGCTAATTTCAAAATTTGCAATAATCGGTGTGTCTTTGACAATTGACTAGAATGTGTTTTGTTTGGAAATGGCTAATAAGTAAATCTGTGGTTATTCACCCGCTTTAGTAGATAACAATCAAATTTTATCAAAAAGCAACAGCTTGATGAATTCATTTTTAAAAAACCTATAAGAAACGCCATCTCTTGACAAAAAAGCATTATTAATGTTCTATAATAAAACTTCATTCGTACAAAATAGGTTTTTCTTTGTCAACTAGATAATACATACAATTTTAATGAAAGATAAACCTTACTCACACTATTGTTATTATACGAAATAATATTACGAAACCCACTTCTTTCCATGAATGCAGTCGTTTAAAGGTTGTAATATTAGCATAACTCGATGAACTTTAAGGAATCATTAGGTTTAGTAACCTGTGATATACATATAAATCACGTGCGTTTGACTGCTTGTATGTCCCCAGTGTGCTTGTATGTAATCGACGACACAACTTGAATTTTATTTTTTAATCCAAGGGAATTGTTAGCGGAGGTGACAGATAATTTTCCACAAGTGCTTCGTCCCTTTCTTTAAAGGGGTATTCGGTACTGTAAGACAAAGACAAGAGATTTTACAGCTACCGTCATTGAGGGTGAAGTGTTCTTTATTATCCATAAAGGTTCTATTTACGGTTTTCTTAATGCCAAAAAGTAAAATTTAGCAAAACGCCACCTGTCACCTCTGTAAGTTGTTTCGTCGAAAGGCCGCTACCAAAAAATCGACCAGTATTTTAAATCTTATTTTGTTTCCTTGATATTATACGCAACTCACGCGCAGCCGGTATAATATTATGGGTTATTCCCCTCGGTGCGGTTTACCAATGTTTGTGTTATTCGCTCGTTACGTTTCAGTTACGACGCCTTAGTATGTGTAATATTTTATCTTCTGCCAAAACAAAAGAATGTGTCATGTAAATAGAACTACCATTATTTATTAATACAATAATTTAAAAGACCTTGTTCGTTTTATTTACCTCTTGTCCACACTCTTACTAAAAAATAATATTACTAATACGATATAAAGGGTATTTTACACAGGCAATATATTTTTTAACATTGTTATATCTTTTCTTTTACAAAAATATTTGTCTCTTATCTACCATTTTTTTATTTTTTAGGTAAAGAATAGAAAAAAACAGCATTTTATAAATATATTTTGTACAGATTGAGCAATAAACTCGTATAAAATAAATGTCTTAAAAAATCTGTTAATATTGGACGGAAACTTATTTACAATATAAAAATACATTTCAGTATAATCCACAATATTATAGTAAAAATATCATAATTTTTAACACTTAAATTACTTCTATCGGTAACTAAATATATTTTTGTATAATATTAAGGGGTATATAGGTACAAATATAAACTTAAAATATAAGAAACTTAATTTATAATAACATAATTAGAAGTAAAGCCTCAAAAACCTTCACCACATGGACAATTTAACGTTAAACAAAAAACAATTGTCATTTTAACAATTGGTGACACATGTTGTGTACCCAAAAGAAGTTATACCAAACATTTTCAGTATAACATAATATTTATTAAAAATAATTCCTTTAGTTTCTTCAAAAATAACAAATCTTCAAAAAAATAAAATGAGGGTGATAAGTTCTGCGTGTTCTTTTCAAGTAAGGCGCCTACGGTTACGTCGAATGTCTACGACAAGAAACTTACCTTATTACTCCCCACTTGCATTGAAAACCAGCGCTTTCCGCCAAGTACTTTTTTCTATTTCAAAAGTAATGTGTATGTGAAGAAATTGAAATTATTTCAAATATATGATTATTCCAGTCTGTATATACATACTATGACCGTTTCTCTAGTTTTATATAACTACTATTTTTAAAATTATGTGGGTAGTTAGGGATGCATAGCCACAATGATGTTAGTCAACGCGGTCCGCGCGTCACAATTCGGAAAACTGTCGAGGACGTCGCACGCGCGCGAAATGTGCTCCCGCTGTAAAGCTTTGGTCTGCTCGATACCGTTGCCGGCTGTTATAGCTTCGTATAACTAAAATAAAAGCAATCATAAGTGTACTTATTAATCGTAATTATTTACAGGCAAATTTACATGTAGCTTGTCCTGTCCGACAGAAACAATTTATTGCAATACTTGACAACACGATTTACTATTGAGCTACGGAGGCGGGCAATGGGCACGATTAAAATAACTAGTTTACGCAAAATTCCCCAGTAAGGTTACTAATTCGGGCCAATAAACTTAATGGTCAACTCCTTATCCTTTTTCAAATTTTAAAAGCTTTAAAGATGTTCTATTCAAATACAAAAAAAAAACAACTTACAGCATGATAGTCAACGTCATGCACGCTCTTCCGACCAGCCTCAATATATGAATAGAGTTCGGGTCTCGCTTCCAAGGTAAAGGCGAGTGGAGCTCCTACTAAAGAAAAACTGGTTGGCTCAGGGCCTGTGAATGCTTCCAGGTCTAAGAAAGCTTGCCACGCCAAAGCTAGGTGGCAGCCAAAGAGGTAACCCTGGAAGGTGAGGATGGGATAATAATAATTGCACCGTTTACTTAACATTCACTTCCTTTAAATATAGAAATAAACAAAAAAAAGAGTTAGAAAATGTATTTTTTTATTAACCATCACGACTTCGAAATGATTAACTGTGTTTTTCGACTGGGGTAATATTGGAGAAACACCAAGTTTTTCTTAAAATTAAAGGATTTTGTCAGCTAAAAGCATAAAAACAGATAACTTTGACAGACATGTTGCAAGTTAATACTTGAAAATGTAGACTAACCCAGGTGTAAAGTAGACTGTAAATAATTTCGTAAATCTAATATCTAAATCTTCGGATTATATATCTTATTTTCTAATAAATCTGGTCAAAATACCCACCTTATTCTGTAAAGCTGGTTCGTGGCCAGCAAGCTTAAGTGCCGCAGAACAGCTCTTGCCCAGCAAAGCTCCAGCAGCTAGAACATGTCTTGCAACCCACTCGCGACGAGCGCATCCAGCCACGCCAGCCATAGGCAGCGGCGATGTGAGGCAGTCCCAGTCTGGAACAGTCGATAGGATTAATCATTGTTCTAAACGAATTACCAATGAAAACAGTAACAAACATTTAAAGATACCATGACCAAGAAGAGAATGAATCATATTTGTATGTATTGCTAGTAAGAAATACATTCAGAAGTCGTTTTAACACAGATTCTCGATCCGTTTCGTATATAATGTGCTTTGTTATGTTTCAACTTTAGAAGATTTATGAAACATCAATGAAATTTCAATTTAATTACAGTTAGGAGTAGAATGATATAAGGCTATTTCATATATACGAATTAATTGAATTGAATTTGACATGGCACAGACTTTAAAATAAATAAAATATTTTTAAATTATGTATATATTTTATCTTAATTAAAGTACGTATTAAATTGTGCGAAGTACTTATTTAGCTCTTATGTGTGTCGGGTTTTTTATATTCTCGATTACTAATAGGCATTTGGGTAGAAATATTGAGGGCACTGGAACGGCGAACAACCGTTGCTTAAACCGGTTCTATAGTGGCCCAGTAGTCCTTTCGTCTTGTGTTTTGAGAGTTTGCGAAACGGTATACACATCTAGGAATTTCTCTTTTTTTGTCTTTTTCCCTTGTTTTAATTAAGAATTTAATTACTATAGATTGAAAAGGATTTAACTTGGTATTTATTTGTTATTATTTTATCAGGATTATAAGTAGCAAAGTAAGTGTGAATAAAACAAAACATAAATGAAAAAACTAGGCATATATTCGATCGCATTTCAAGTAATACTGATTTTATACTGTCTATAGTTTACGCGAGTAGTACACATTTAAATAAAACACTTTAACGGTTTAAAACGCGATATACTTTAGTTAAATATCTTTGTAAAGTATTTTTAACTACGGCCCGACGTATCGGATGCTTGTTATAGTGTTTTATTTAGAAAAACCTACTTAGTGATTGTGACGAATTAAATTTATGTATTAAAGAGTATTTCTGTATTAAATCATATTTAAAATGTACGTTTCATTTTTATAATAAAGAATCTGAGGTTTATTATATTATTTTTATTTTATAATTCAAATAGATACATATTTGCGTTCATTCATATTGGAGTGGCTATTTGATTTGCAAACAAACCCAACTCGTTTGTAACAATTAGCGGATAGATGGCAAAAGCCATTAGGGCGAATTTAAAGTATCATTTTTAAATTGATTGTATGAGCGAGTTATTAAATATGCACCCAGACAGGGGTCGAACCAGAGAAGATGTTACGTGCAACAGTCTTATCTATCCCAGAATGCTTATGAAACTTTCAAGTATTGAAATGGAAGTCATTTTAGTGGCCAATTTCTTGGGATTTCTCTCCGATTGTAGCTATATTTTTCCTCGAAACCAAACCTAAGACCTCTAGCGCGAACGTAATGCGTTTAAGAATTGAACAACGGAGACTGTACATTAAAATTTACTATACTATTTTTGGATGTCCGTTAATTACGATACCCGTATCGATTTTTTTTTAAATTTAAAATCGACCTTAAATACATATATACATATAATGCTACCATGTGCAACATAATGTAAAAAATATTAGTTATATTTTTTTATAATGAAAACTTTATTTTTATACATAGCCGTATAAAAACTTAAATTTTTATCCTACGGCCGAACGTCCTTGAGAATAGATTTCTCTGTTTGAACAATTCTGTATTGTACGATAATGAGGTTGCGATGGTCGAGCCCTGAATGCTTGATGGCGTGTGACCAGCATACGTAATCAAAGATGTCTGATTCGTTATGTTCCTACGCAAGGGACTGATAAGTTTAGTATGGTCACAGCGAGTGAAATAACTTTAGTGTAGACCATCGACTTAAAAGTTTTTTTCTAATAGAAGTACGGACAAGCAATTGGTTCACTGAATGATAGTAGAAATACGTTAGCCTTATATAATAAAAAATATATGCTGTCGACCTATTTTGGCTATTGAAAATCACGGCCTGAAACCGAAACCCAACTTTCGGTGACCGGGACATGCTTTCTGCCCATTGAATACCTAGATTTCCCGACTTTGTTGACGTTGGGTGTATATATAATTACGTCTTCCAATTATGTTTTCGTAATGAGCATTTTCAATAATTAATATAAGAACCTAAATATTAAAAATAAATTTGCTATCTGCCAGTGTTTGTAATATACAAATCCAAAAATACTCAACACATTTTGATTAAATACTTAAGTAACGAGAGTAAGAGCTAGTAAGATATCTTCTTCTCAATATTGATTGTAAGATAAAAAGAGAAACCTCCAAATACTCGCAAATGTTACACTGCCATATTGACACAGTTGACGGATGTAGGCGTGAGCTCATCAATTCCTAAGTCAATATGTTCATTGAATACTGTTTGCTCGTTAAGTACATTATCATAATCGGGTTATTCTGTACAAATATGTAGATTTAATGTACATTACAGTAAATACTGTACGCGAGTACACATTTAAATAAAACACTTTAACGGTTTAAAACGCGATATATTAGTTAAACTTATTTGAAAATGATTTTTAACTTCGGCCCGACGTTTCGGATGCTTTGCAGCAGTCGTGGTCACGGTGAAAAAATTCAAAACCACCTGGAACCACAGCTGTTGCAAAGCGTCCGAAATCAAGTAAAATTCAATTAACCGTAATGTATTTTTTTATTGATAACATTTATAATATTATAGATTATATAATAGTACAAATAATTAAGAGTCTTTCTCTTACCTGCAGCAGGTTCTCTTTGGTCAACGGGTAGAGGGCGTGACGGTAGCGGGTTGTTTTGCTCGTCTCTCTCACCTAAAAACTCCGCTTCAGCCAGATCTCTCACAGCCGAAGACATTAGTTCGACCAGCTCCTGATTCCTGGAAGTGGAGAAGAGTCCCTAAATTAATTCTCTTATAATTGATATTTAAAATACCTATAATCTTAAGTAAAAATGTCTTTCTTTTAACAAATAATCTCAAATATTGTTTGTAGTTTACGCGAATAATATGCACTTAAATAAAACATGTTCAACGGTAAAAATCCCCCGTGACCACGGCTGATGCAAAATAACACGTCAAACTCTACTTAAATTTAATAAGTAGAACAAGTAATATGTTTCGTTTTAAATCTTGAAAAATATGCAAAATAGAAAATAAAGAAGGTAGGACTCGATAGCTCAATTGGTAGAGCAACAGCACGGAACGCTGACGATGCCGGTTCAAGTCCTGCCCGAGTCGAAAATTTTTCCAATTTATTTTCGATTTTTAAATTAGAAAATAAAGAAGTCAAAAAAAGGGCGGGAATCAAATTTGGAAAGCCACAGAAATCAATCAGTAACAAATATTTTGTCATTGTTTTGTGTTAGATTTAATTAAACCTATAGCAGATTTATTAAATTTATGAATTTGTTTATTTTGCATTCAAAAGGCTGCAAGTATTTCAATAGATTTATCAGCAATATTCTAGACTTACGAATGTTCTTAGAAAAATTCCGACTTAGACTCGAAGGATTCGAATTTGGTACATCGTGATAAGCACTTCAGTGTACTAACCGTAAGGCTAACAATTTTGCAAGCGCTTATAAATAAATAGTTGTGGCTATGGGGGAACGAATGAAGATTGCCAAAACTCAACTCGATACAAGTGGAAGGTCAGAACCTAGTGGAACATACAGTTATGTGAATCACTTTCACCTCATGTTTGTACGATACCGTTACGTTTGTATAAAGAAACGGTAATTAACTACCAAATATAAGCGATTATGCTCTTTATATACATTTTTATTCGATCGTGAGTTGTAGATGCCTACGAGTTCTATGCAGTAAATCCTGCTTAAAACGATTTCTCAGGGACCCACCAAAACCGCGTCTTAAGCGGAAAACTTGCAATATATTATAACTTAAGTTGTGCTCTAATTTTGGTATATGTAGGTATTAAATTATATAATACTAGCAGTGTCAACGACTTCGTTCGCGTGAATCTTTTGCGTCCAAATTTGTCTTAATTAAATAATTAATGGCAACGGGAGTAAGAAACTACCTCGTTAGTCTAGTGGTTAGCGAATTTGAATGTAGGTCACGAAGTTCAGCGGTTAAATCCGTGGTCGGGCAAAGTTTATATACGATATTAGATTTTTCTATGAACATTTTTGGTATCAGCTCTGAGCTCGAAAGCTAGTTAAGCCATGGTGAAGACTACTTCTTTAGTGACAATATGTTAAATCCCATCAATATGCCCTGGGGCATGCGTGGTGGGTGGAAAGTAAAACCTCGCCGCTGATTATTTTCCAAAAAAAAATAAATGACTTTCCAAAGTTTAAAGAATTTCAACGAATAAAAAATGTTTTCTTTTTTGTATTTTTGGATTACGATTTGACGTGTTTACAGATTCCAGGGACCCAAATCTAAGATCTTATGCGTAAAATATAGTACGCTGTTTTCCGTAAAATCTATATGTTACCTATAGGTATATATCGTATCACGTATTTCCGCCAGTGCATTACTTCATCGTATTTAAATGAAGGGAATAAAGATAAAGACATACAGAAGCGTAAGTAGTAATTTTCTTGTTTTATTTAAAAGACTATGTCAGTGTCCATAGAATTTCAAATAAAATAGCTCGACATGCACCTTGTTCAGTTGTTATATAGCTGGAGTATTTCATCAAAGGTCAGATAAAAAGAAGATGACAGCAGACGAACATACGGTCTTTGGATTGTCTGTCCCCCCTCTCTGGTGCTCCTAGGCGGATTTTCCCTGTCTTATAGGTTCCTCGTCAAAGATCTATCAAGAACAATGCGTATTTTAGAAAAAACGTACACGAAATATATACTTCTTTTTCTGTGGCTACAAATGGGCACGGGGTATGTACGAACATCATCTCATTTCGACGACTTAATTTTAAAAACTTAATAGCTAGGTGATCAGCCTTTGAACACTTTACAAATTTATTTTTCCAGGGATTGCAACCTAATTAGGCAAGCTTTTCGATTGAGTCAAGAGGTGCTAAGGATTGTAGCCATGACCACCTCGTGGCTCACACACTAAGTTAAGTAAAGCACATGCTGTTTTAGTTTGTGCGAGTATGTAGTGCACATTTTACAATCTTTAACGGTTTATAAGGGAAGTAGTAATTAGACTTATTTAGCCTGATTTTTGGCTTCTTTCCGAACGTTTCGAATTGTTTCCCGTGACCACGGTTGCTGAAGCATCCGAAACGTCGGGCGGAAGGTAAATCATGTTCAGGTAATGTTTAGCAACTGAGTCGCGTTTTAAACGGAAGTGGTTTATTTAAAGCACAAGCTCTTGATTCATCTTAAATACCGAAATAATTTTGCATCAATTTACAATTTCACTACACTTCCTTATTGAAGACAACTTGTCAATTTCACAAGTATAAGGAACAAAATTCCTGAGATATTACGCATAATATAAAAGCAATTACAACCTTTAAACCTTACCGGGCCTTGGGTTTTTACTCATCATGAAGAAAGTTTGCTTACAATTCATACGTACCTACAATATTTTAAAAAGTAGGTCCACATTAACCAAATACTTTTTAACGGTTTAAAACGCAAAATATATAGGTTAAATAATTGCTAACGAACAATCAGAACTGCTGAAAAGCATTCGAAATGTACGCAATTTAACAGTTTAAAAATGTATATTTCATTATTAATAACTACGTCTTTCTACGACTTAGTGCAAAAAAGGTTATTTCTAGTCACGCCTCTAATTCTCGAAGCTATTAAAAGTAAATATATCCTATACTAATATTATAAAGGTGACGAGTTAGTATGTTTGTTATAACGCTAATCTCAGAAATTATTCGAATTGATCGTTCTTCGTATGTTGGATAGACCATATTTCAAGGGCTGTAGGTTATTTACCATTAAGCTGTAATTAAATTGGAGTGCAGAAGAAGTGGGAAATGTGGAAAAAATTGGGAAAATATCTTTGTGGGTTTCTGTTGCGTGCACTGCGAAAACGGTTCATGGCACCCAAAAAGTATGATTTCTCTCAAAATGACCTAAAAAACCGTCTCTCTTTAATTAACTTGTGAGAACCGTTTTTATCGTAATCAGATTTGGTCGAAATTAATGCACTATACCAATTATTTGTATAAACATAATAATTTAAATAAAACACTGTAACGGTTTAAAACGCGATATAGTAGTTAAAATCGTTTCGGATGCTTTGCAGCAGTCGTGGTCACGGGGAGGCGTCATTCTCAAATAAGTTTAACTAATATATCGCGTTTGAAACCGTTAAAGTGTTTTATTTAAATGTGTACTACTCGCGTAAACTATAGACAGTACTTAAACATAATAATATTAATCTTGCAACAACAAAACAACTTTTTTCGATCAGCTGAATAGTATAAGTTTCAGCTGGCATCAACAGGAAATGTTGAATGTATATCTTCTCTGATTCATTGAGCAAGGACGAGTTGTCTCACAATGTGATGTTAATTGGACCGAAGGTTACAGACACAAATTTTAGCTAACAAACTCTGTACATTTAAAATAAAACACTTTCGGATGCTTTGCAGCAGCCGTGTCTCCCCGTGTCCAAAGCGTCCGAAACGTCGGGCCGAAGTTGAAAATCATTTTCAAATAAGTTTAAATAATACATCGCGTTTTAAACCGTTAAAGTGTTTTATCTAAATGTGTATTACTCGTGTAAAATACAGACAGTATTTAAACTCTTTAGTCTTTACACTTGCTTACTCGTATTTACATTTTCCCTATATAGATAAATAATGACACTTCTTCGCACTCAAGTCGTGTCTCATCAGAATATTGAGTTCGCAACCGCAAGATGCAAACTTTCTATGTTTCCAAGTAAAAGCTAAAACCTTACAGCAAATTGCATTTTTATGTCATGGTACTTTACTTGGAAACAATAGAAGCTGCTTAATTTAATTCAATAAGACTCGAAAAAAAATTCCGATAATTTTTGTAATTAATACTGGTTAATAATATTTAATACTGCAACGCATTTTTTACAGACAAAATATAGTATAGTCTGTATTTAACGCGAGTACACATTTACTGAAAAATTATGATGGAAAGAGAAATGTTTTCTTTCTTACAAATAAACATTTTTAACGGTTGAAACGAGAACTATATAATTGTTAACAATTTATTTTAACTACGTCCCCATGCTTCGGATGCTTTGCAGCAGCCGTGGTCAGGGGGGTGTAAAATTGGAGAGTGCCTAATGTCAAAATAGCGCCAGATGTTTCTAAATAAGTTAACTAATATATTCCCCATTTAAACCGGTTAAAATAGCTTTTTTTGAATGAACAGCCTAAAATAAGTCAGTAAAAGTCCCGTCTTAATTGGTTTAGACGTTTAATGCATATTCACGTCTTACGTACGTATGATAGGTGTGCTATCGTGTACTGTTTAAATTTTATAAGAGAAGCAATTATAGGCAAATAAATTATTTAACTTATGTATAAGTAAAATTAAACCTAACTAAATCTGAAAATTACAACTTATTCGTAATATTAAAGAAAGCAGTAACGTGTTTACAATTACAATAGAGCGTAACATATTGCGTAAAATGATTGTAAACAGTTTCCGATATTACAATATTGCCATAATACACATATACATAATTACTTTCACTTGGCTAAACAAAACAGATAATTAAATTGTTACAATGTATTCGACTGTACCTACGCACATATGAACATAAATAATAAAATCCTTAAGCCACAGAACTGCGTCTGTCTTTTGTATACAAGATCAAGGTCGTCTTTGTCTAATAGATTGTGTTTACAAGTTATTGATTAAACGTCTTGCTTATACAAAGTAGCGTTATTAAAAAATATTCTTACCGTAAATTAGCCAGCTCCGTACAAGAGTTCGCAAGCAGATAGTCTCCACTGAGCAGAGCGATTTTATTCCCAAACATCATGTTGTCTGGTTCTTCGATGGGACGACGAGAGTTCATGTTGACCAGGCCCTTGTGGACCAGATGTGATGTGCGAATCATCTCTGTTACTTCTGCGAGGGCCCGCTGGCTGTAAAGAAACGGGCCTTCAACTTTTTATAGAACTTAAATTAGTGTTTTTTTTAAATCAAATATCTAAATAGGAATACAGGTGTGTATTAAATGAAACTCTTTTTAACGGTATAAAACGAGAAATACGCAACGGTTCGACGTTCCGTTGCGTCAGGTTACTGAAGAATATTTTGAAAAGTATAGTTGGGTTTCGATGAAGGAGTTATGTAACAAGTTCTAGTGTAGCTAGAGCTAAAATTCTAAATAGATCTGTGTCCTAGTTTTGCGAATTATTATAAGGAATTTGTTTTTTTACAATGAATAAAAAACGGCCTAAGTCAATTACCTTAATTGAAAATAGGACAATATCTAAAATTAAACTAGCACACGTACGTTTTACATTTATAAGTATAACACATATAATACCTATATAGTTTTATAAAAAAAAATAAACTGCATTAGGTATTCACTCCATCACTTAAAAAGTGGTATATCATGATGACAAAACAACACTCACGTTATCTGCAAAATATATCTATCGAATGATATTGATTTTATAAATCACTGATCACATTTATTTACAGAAAAGATAAACTAGTTAAACTGTTATGTTTTCCCGGGGTTCCAAGTAAATATACACACAATATAAGTAATTTTGAACCCGTACAACTAACCGTCTGATGTGGATTCAAATTCCAAATTTTCGAAATTCGAATCCGTATTAATTGTTCCTTTTTAATCTCACGACATATTTACGGTAATTCCCCGAATAGTGATTTATAGTATTTAAACACTATGGAAGAAAACCCCCTTATTACCTGTGCAAAACTCCAGCGGCTTTGTCCTGTTCCATGTCTGGTATTTCAGGACTGTGTCCTGCAGCCTTAGACACCAAGAGTACAATGAGACCCCAAGCTTGCATATTGTTCTTGCCATTGTAAATTAAGTTTCTAGAAGATAGTAGAAGAAAATATATTTATATTAAACTGAGTCTTGAGTAGCAAATTTTGCAAATGATAGGAAATGTATTATTAATTTAAATTATAAAATGAAAGAAGTATTTCAATAAAGCATTCTTCTTTCAAAGTCGTCGAGCCCTAATAAAATTATAACGTTTTTCCTATTTTTAACCGCTTAAAATGATTTACTCGCGTAAACTATACACAATACTTAATAAAAGATGTACTTTTATAATTTTTGTATTATTTTTAATATCAAAACTCATTTTAAAGCTAGTTTTTTGCTATACCTACCTTCATTTGTTTTGATTTTGTTATATTGGCGATACCAAATATATGAGCTAAAAAAAGTGAAATTCTGTATGTTGCACGTCCGGCATTGATTATACACGTTTCTGATCTCATCTACAGGCGAGTTGATAAATACGTAGTTGATGAGAATTCTGCCTCGCACGAAGAAACCCTTTCCCATGATTCGAACTCAAGATACGATTCATAACAGCAGGCGGAAGAACAACAAATTGTTTTTAATTTAAATAAAACACTTTAACTGTTTAAAACGCAGTAGCTACTGCGGCTTAACTACTCATCAATCATACCAAACGGGCCGTAGTTAAAATAATTTTCATATAAGTTTAACTAATATATATCGCATTTCAAACCGTTAGTGTTTAATTTAAATGTGTACTACTTGCGTAAAGTTCAGACATCATTTATATTTGTTTTTAAGTTCAAATTAAACAACAATCACTTATTAAAAACTTAATTCACTTGTGAACGTCAATATAGGTAGTAACAAAAGACTGTTCATTTATATTTACGTTTACTAATAAGAAGATTTGGCAAGAAACTCGCCACTACTCAATCGCCTCTGTAAACTGAAACCCTTAAAACATCGATAATCCATAATATTATTTTCTTATCGATCCGTAAACTTAAGAATTTATGAGAGTTATAAAAATTCAAATACTATCAAATGTTCTTATAATAACAATATTACGAAAGAAACGCGAGAGAACGTCTTAAACTGACCTCAACATGTTAATTTTGCAAAGTTCATTGCGCATTGAGGTTACATCTATGACTAGCAGTCATAATAATTATGGTAATGGATAATCCTTAATTACCTTTTTATGGCATAGTTTCATTCTTATATACTTAATTCTAATGATTAATAAAGATAAGCGTTCTTTAATGATTAGCAAAGTTTTAATCTTTGTTTTGGAGGAATTCGTTTTCTTACATTCTATAAATAAAACATACCTTCACGCATGGAATAAATACTTACATGATAAATATAATTTTTACGGTACTAGTAAGTTTGGCTATTCATGATATCTCATGCTTACTTGTAAGGAATGTTATATGTATGAAGAGTTACTTTTATGAAGTTAAAATTAAAAATATAATAAAGAATTTGTTTTTTATATTAATTTACTTACTTCGCAGTTTTCAACAGCGGATGATTACTTCCCACTAATTTGCGCAAATGTAGGGCGACGTTAGCAATCTCGTCGCTCAAAACCCATCTTAAACTTAAAAAGGAGGTTGGATATCCGACTATCTTCTCAGCTTCGCTCACAGCTCTGTTCCAATCGGGCTTAGTATTATGTTGGGAAACAGCAGCATATTGCGCACTACTAGTATTAACTTCTCTCGTGCAAGGTTCCCAAATTTTCGCAACCACCGAGCTTGATGGAGTAACTTTCACCAAATCGCTTCTCAAAGCAATCCTTAGACGACTTAAACTCATTATGAAAATTTAATAAAATACAACACAAACAATTTAACCATGGACCACAATACAACACAATTTAAAAGATCATAATTTCGCTAAGGTACGTTAAAATATAAGCGCACATCCACGTCCAACAATTTGGCGCTCAAAGTTTAAACTAAAACTGCTTTAACATTTGAATGTGAGTAAAGGGCGGGGATTGTGCGTTGGTCATTGCAAATTGTTTTCTGATTGGTTGTTTCATATGTGACGTCTTTATTTATAGACATCGTATAGACTGTTTCTGTGACTGGCCAATATGGTAAGCAATCATTCTAACAATTGACATTTCTCACTACTGTCATTGATAAAGTCAAAGTGATGACATATGTAATATGTGAGAAAAGTTCGTCGATCATAAGTCGATCAGCGAACTCGATTCCCGATCGGCGATCAGTCATTCGCGAAACACCGGCAGTTGTAGTCGATTGAAGGTGATCACTACTGTACGCCGGCTATTTGCGTTGTAATTTATTATTTCACTTCTGGAACTTCTAGATTTTGTTTACAGGCACGATCTGTGAAAGTGCTATCAAAGTAAAGTGCAGTTTTTAAGCACAGTTTTTTAATTAAATCGAACCTATTTTCGAGGTAAGTTGCGTAGAATGCAATTACAAAAAAATACTTAGTGCTTATTCGCGTTCAGGTTTAACTATATTAAGCAGTTTCGTCCATGTGTAGTGCGTACGTGGTAGGAAAATACCCGAGTCAAAACGACTGAATCGATCACTTAAACTTAATTAAACCATTCATTTATTTAAACTCCTCTTATAGTAGAGTTCACTACTTGATCTCATACTGAATACAAAATAATGTCCTTAAAATAGATTTACCTCACTAACAGTAATGTTTCATATTATTAATAAATAATTGCCTAGTTATGCGCAGTACGGCTACGACATTAAGTTCCATTTCTCAGTAGTTTTATATCGTAAATTTTAACGATCATAACAAATTATAAGCGTTATGAATATCGTTGTATCAGAAAATCGTAATATATGTTATATTCCGTTTTTGTTCTTATGTTATGTTGCTGTCCACTTGGTTGAGTCGTACAACAGGATAAAGTTATAAATCATGGACTACAATTGGCTTAAAAAAAATATCACAGTTATTTAAAAACTATAACAGTACCCATATTTGTGAAATAATAATTATTATGTAGACTATTTTTTGGTTTATTTTGTGTTTTTATTTTATATCTCTAATAATAAGTAAGACATGTATAGTTTAAATATAAACCATAAACACCAAACATTAGTGTTGCAATTCAGTGCATAGTAATAAATATACTATATTATTGTGTTGTATAATTATATTGCATACATTAAATAGTGCATATGAATGTCAGTTGACTTTAAAAAAAAAAACAAAACAAAAATAAATTAAAACCAATATAATTTATTACCATGATTATCAACTTCATGCTATGTTATAACCATTTATTACAGGATTACAAAGTTATGTTAGTAACACTTTTATGACTAAAGAACGGCTGAACCAATTCACCTAAAAATTGGTTGGACAGACCCTGAGAAAGACTATTGTGTGCTTTTTCTCTCGGTTGTTATAGGTGTGTTAACAGTTTATAATGACAGCGTTCAAAAGCCTGTATGTAGTCTCTTATAAGTGACTTAGTTTTTAGATTAGTGGACTGCATCAAAATAAGTCAAATATGTTATACAGGTTTATAAGTAACTACAAAACAAATGAGACTATAGGTTAGTAATACATGACTGATGATCACAAAATGCAGTTATTGAAAATTTTGTTAGCATATAAAACTCCTGAAACTTGAATCTTTGGCTAGAATCTTGATCTAGATTCTAGCCTAAGTAGTTTCAGGAGTTTTTAATAGGTTGGCGTTTTACAATTCTTAGAAAAAAAATTAAATTTAGTTAAGTAGCTGGTCAGTAATTTTTGTAATCTAACTAATATATGGTTTTGATTTTTTTTTTCAATTCTTGATTGTAACATACATGATAAATAAAAAAATAAAATTACTTTATCCTCTTTAAAAAAATTAAAAATATTTAGATTCGTTAAAATTGTTTTGTTTGTCTGTCTGTTTGCCACGATTCTACAATTAATTAAAAGAATCTGAGGTACTACCAAATTTGAACAGAGGGGTTAATTTACTAATTTCATTAAATCACAATTGTGTCAATTAGCGCTTCAGCGTCTGGTGTGACTATTTTACAATTATTCCTTGTGACACTATTGTTAGTTTCTGATTAATAATTTTGCTGTTAATTTAGGTAGCACATTACCGAATTTGTAACTTTATATTATTAAACCCCACGATATTGCAGGCTAGGGCTTATTCTTTCTTAATTTTCAATGATTCACAAAGATTTTACTATGGTGTGTTTCTTAACTATACTAAATTGGGTGTACCGTGTAGTTACCTAAATACATACATTACCAACTCTAAAGAATGTTTGTTTTTAACAAAAATTCTTGCACCATGGGGGGTAAAATTTACATTTCTAAGTTAGCCCAGGTTTTTGAAGTTAGTTTTACAATAACTATTATTTTCATGTGTTTTATACCTTGTTTACACTTTCTAATTATGAAATTTCGCCATTAACTAAGAAAAGGCGATGTAATAGTCAACAGTGGAGTGTTATCAGTAGTTAAAAGGATTAATTAGATTCTTATCATGTTGATACTAGATATCGATCTTGCGTCAGGGCAGTCTAGCATAATTATTAAGTAAATTATGTATGAGTATCACAAGATTCCAGTCTCAGACTTTGTCTAGTTTAGAAGCTATATGTATACTGATACTGTACTCGGTAGAGTTTTTTTTTCAGTTAGAAGTAATTATACAATTGTTAAACATCCTGATTTGTTAATCAATTAATGATTTAAAGTATCTTACCTAAAAAAAACAATAATAAGGCATAGGACATTTGTTTTCTGCTAAGTTTTAAAACTAAATTAAGTGCATCCTACTACTTTGTTCAAAATTGTAAAAGTAAAAATTTAATTCCAAGTAACTATTAATTTATAAGATAGCTATAACCCAAAGAGTCATTACTGTATGATGTGTAAAGGTTTGATATAATTTTGTATTCTTCCCCCAGGTATGGAGTGGGAAGGGCCGCCCAAGCAAGGCTTGTACGACCCTCAAAACGAGCACGAGGCCTGCGGTGTTGGTTTTGTTGTTGCTATTGACGGAAAGCGTACCCATAAAGTGAGTACTGTCCTATTTATCTTTACTAGTCTATAAAACTGACTTTTGTTTCGTAGAATAGGGAGCCAAAAATTTTGCACACTATTTTTTGTCATCTGTGAACAGCTGCAATACCAGAAACAGTCTTGTTGGCTTGGCCACCAGTGATTGAATTAATGATAAAGGTTATGCCCACCACGAAAGCTAGGCCCAATTTAAATGTTTTTTTTTTGTGACGGTGTTTCGTGACCCTAACGGAACTTCAATATTTATACCAATATCCATTTTTCCAGACGAAGTCCTATGTTTTCAGAAAAATTAAAAAATTGTATAGAAAATGTTGGACCGAATGGTACCGACACCACGACACTTTGATTAGTCATACCTTTGAAAACATTAATATTTTTTCACATGTTATTGCGCTCTGCTCTATATGTATAAATTAAAAATCGATTATTAGTTGAAAAAAATCGACGACGACATGTAGGGCACGGTAGTTTAATTGGTTAAAGCAACAGCACGGAACGCTGCGGATGCCGGTTCAAGTTCTGCTCGCATCGTAATTTTTTTTTCAATTCCGTATGATTGATCTAACCACCTCAATCTGTTCAGATCGTTCGAGATGCTGAGACTCTCGCTAAGCGTATGGAGCACCGTGGCGCTTGTGCCTGCGACAATGACACCGGAGATGGTGCTGGAGTGCTAACTGCCATTCCGCATCAGTTCTACTGCGCCCAGTTGCGGTAAGTTGCTTATATTGCCAGGTCCATATTGACCAAAAATAATGATATTGTTTATCGTTATTAATAAGATTACGTCAAACATTAACACCAGTTAACTTTACTTCTGTTTTTAAAAAGATTAAAACTATTTAGGATTTTTTTTACATTTTTCTACTTGAACTAGACTCTTTTAAGTAAATACTACCTATCTCAGGGTCCCCATATCTGCAATATCATTACATTACATTCCCAGTATATGTTATTATATGTTTGAATAAGACATGCGTCAGGACAGTCTTGGTGAAATTGAGTCAAAATAGGTAACGATCACAGTTGACTTTGGCATTGAAACAGCTAATTGCGACTAGCACACTCTATTCCAGATTACGTGGTCCTAAAGATGAACTTAATATGCATATCATTGTCTTTCGGGTCGTTCGGCCGACTAAGCGAGAAGAGGTTCTCGACGTTTCTCTATCACGTGCGGACGGCATCATCAGATCTTAACTGAGACAGAAAGACAATGATATGCTGAACGATGGCCGTGAAAGCCTTACGCAATTTATTGAACTTTAGTTATATGGTTTTAATTTTTCGTCATAATGTAAGTTTGTTTCGTAAATAAGCATAAACGACGATATTTTTGATAACATCGACTTAGCATTTATAGACTTTTGACGACGTCGTTATCGTAATGTATGGCTAATAACGGATTGTGACCCCTCGGCCAACATCGTTCCAAACACTTTATGATTTTTCTGAAACCTATTGGACTTTGTCTAGAAATCTGGATGTTGATTTCATAATAGGAATATCGAAATTCCGCCCGGCTCACGTACTGCCGTGCACAGATGAATGAGTCAATGAGTTACAGTCTGTGGATATTCAAATGCTATATGGTTGGGATATTTCATCACCATCAAGTGAAACGAATCTGTCCGTCGTCCTCTATAGTAAAAAAAGAAGTAAGATCTTACCTACTGTTACATAGCCTATAGATATATTGTAATTAAACTCGAAATTAGTACGGCTTCTGGAAAATTAGTTTCGATAAACAATAGACAAATTCTATTGTTACGTTACTTTTCTGGCACTGTTCACGTTTCACGTTTTCGTTGGTTCTTCAATGGAACTTATCCTATAAAAACTATTATATGAGGCCGGTAGAGGCAGAGTAGCCTAACTGGTATGACTTGAGTTTTTCATATTTTTATACTCTAAAAACGTTAATCTATTAAGTTTAAAAATTGTCAACAAAATTGTTTCACAAGCAATAGTATAAATTTATTTTCGCCTAAGTGCATTTTTATTTTCTTCCTTATTGAAAATCACGTATTTTGACATTAGGCCACTCTGCCTCTAGCATTCTCATAATATTATGTCAGATCAATGTACTGCACAATAAATCGATGTTTTATCGCGTTATCTAACCTTCTGCCTTCGAAGAGTCATTGACAGTCGCAGACAGTTGGGTTATGTAAGAAAAATCGAACGAAAGAAAAGTTGGCAAGATGCCAGTCACATCGGAACTTGTCTGGCGCAGTGCCAATATTGACTTGACAGAATATAGCGTCTTGTGATACGGGAGTATTTATTTATATATAAATCCATATTTATATTAAACTAGCGACCCGCCCCTAATTCACTCGGATACAATGCTGATACTAAAGGGGCCCCCCCCTTATCTCGTCTCATATCACAAAATATAGGTTCATAATTAATTATATTTTAAAAGTCCAATGTTTTTACCTGTTTGATTTTTATCGTTTTTTAACTTTACCATACTATAAACGGCTAAATCGAATTAGATGTTTAATGATGAAAGGACAGATAAACGTGGGGTACTCCCATAGCGTTTTACCTTCTATCACCTGTACTTGATTATAGTCGTCGTAAAATAAAAATAATTCACCTGAATATTTTGCGTTTTACACTGTTTAAAGCGTTAGAACTAGAGCCCTTTATTTACAATTAAAGTTAAATTCAAGTGAAGGAGCTCTAATTTATTTGTCTAGCAATTACTTTTCAAGATATTGTTCAAACACTCGTCAACACTTCCTATGCTATATTAATCTCTTGGGAATTTTCTATTCAATGACACTTAAGGTTTTATCTTATCTGTGCACCACATAATGTTGACTTAGCAAAGATGCCTCTTGCGGGTATCTTGTTGCACTTCACAATGCCATTTTCATATAACATGGATACGATTAATAACAGTTCTAAAACAGATATAATTCATTAAATACAATACTTTGAACGGCCTATAATATTTAAATAAAACATTTGAACGGTTTTAAACGCGATATATGTTAGTTAAACATATTTAAACATACTGTCTATAGTTTACGCGAGTAGTACACATTTAAATAAAACACTTTAACGGTTTAAAACGCGATATATTAGTTAAAGTTATTTGAAAATTATTTTTAACTCCGTCCCCCCGTCTCTCCGTGACCACGGCTGCTGCAAAGCATCCGAAACGTCGGGCCGAAGTTAAAAATCATTTTCAAATAAGTTTAACTAATATTTCGCGTTAAAGTGTTTTATTTAAATGTGTACGACTCGCGTAAACTATAGACAGTATTTAAAAAGAATTTCGAACACATGTTCAACAAGGAACATGTAAACTTTTAAATGCAGTTATCGATACAACAAATATTTATCAACACTCATTATACAGATTATTAAATAAATATTTACTCTACATTAATTAAGAGTCATTGTAAGCGACGTTATCGCAACAATTGTATCTCAAAGGAATTGTGAGGAAGCTGAACGTGAAAAACAAATGCTTAATCAATTGTAACTGCGTAGTTGCGCACAATCAGCGCCCATTCAGGACTAGAACCAATTATCTACTTGATACAGTTGACTCTGCACAACGTACACTTTCGTTCGGTAGAGCGCGTGTATGTGGAAGATAAGACCGTCTTTAACTTATATGTATATATTGCGTTTTAAACCGTTAAAGTGTTTTATTCAAATGTGTACTGGCGTAAACTACAGACAGAATTTGAATAAAAAAACGGCACGGGCGGGACTTCAATCGGCACCAACAGCGTTCCGTGCTGTTGCTCTAACCGATTGAGCTACCGTGTCCTACACGTGTTTTTTAAAATCTTATTGATCATGTATCAATAAGATTTTAAAAACCTCTCGCTTATAGCTTCAAACTCCTTAACACCGGTGCCGATGCCGGTTCAAGTCCCAAAAAAAAAAAAAAAAAAAAGAAAAAAAAAAAAAAAAAACACCCAAAAAAAAAAAAAAGGTTAACAAGGGGGAAGGGTGTTCCCAAAGAATCTTCACGGTCCCAAAATAATTCTAGTAACGTTTAGTAAATAAACCATTTTTGAAGTAGAAAATACCAAACCCGAAAACATTATCCCATGTCTCGTTTAGCACCAACGACTTAATGGCGGTTATAGTAGAAATCCGCATTAAAAAAAAGTGGATGATCTGGTTCCTTGAACTCTTATGAGAGACATAATGTACCTAAAAGTAAGTTAAGTTGAAAAAAAGTGAGGAATTGTAACGACTTACAGGTAACGCATTTTTTCAGAATTGTTATCTATTTATGCAAAACCATAAAACTTAAAAATGGCGGATCTGTATACTTTAATTACTAATTTTAATACGACCCAATGTTACGGAGACACCGGTTTTTAATTCGCGTTTATTTTGCACGTTTAACAATTGTAATCTTATGCTAATTTATTTATAAATTCAGGTCTTTAACCTCTGCATAAAATGATCTTAAACACTTTTCGTTTGTAGATACCGTTAGTAGAACATTAAACTTAGTACTGAATTGTCCTTGAATCTATTAATGCAGCTATGAGCATAATAGCGGACAAATTCTTGATCTCTATTGGTAGCCAATTCCCCAACTATACCTAAGAAATGTACCGACATTACTACAGAGTTTGCAGGAGTAAATAAAACTTATGGTAACTCCCAACTCATATTATCAATTATTATTAAAAAAATCACCATCTTCAAGGTTGCCTGGAAGAAATCGCTGTTCGCAGATAAGGCTGCCGTTTCTCGCTAAAAATTTTTTGTAATTTCATCAAATTGAATCTTTTTTCGTCGTGACAATAAAGTATTTTTAGTTTTTTGTTTATTTGTAAACGGCACTTTTAACGGCTTACGTGAAATAATAGACTTGACTTTGACATTAGTGAGACGCTCCATCGTCATGGTGGACGTGACCACGGCTGCTGTAAAGCATCCGAACGTCAGGTTATAGTTATAATAATTTGTGAATGTATAACTTCTTATAGATTTCTAGTTTTAAACCGTTAAAAGTGTTTTACTTAAATACAAAAGACATTAATTACTAAAGCAATTACCACACAAATATCTTCGCTATACATATTTAACAGCGGTAAATTATTCTCAAGTAACATACTATATGTTTCATATTTTTCTCACTGATTATGACCATTCAAGGTTGTCTGTAAGATCGTTTGCATGTCATATTATAGGCTCACTTACTCGTTACACATGAGAAACAAAGACTATATGACCAAATTATGCAAATTTCTATTCATTGGAAGAAATAGGCAAATAAAAATAACTATTAATGTTTCGTTGATCGTTACGAACAAATCTCTGAAACAACTGTATCGATGTTTGAAAACTATTAATTTTTACATGTTATTGCACATGAAGTACACTATATAATTAAAACGAAAATTAATTTAAAAAAATTCGACTCGGGCAGGACTTGAACCGGCATTTTTAAACTGTATCGAATTTATTTCACTTTTAAAGGCAGTCATGATTTATTTTAAATAGGTAATTTAAGCACCTGAAACGTCTTGCCGTCCTTAAATTTAATATCGCGTTTTAAACAGTTTTAAAAAGTGCTTTTTTAACTGTATATAATTCTAATTTATTTCTTTTATTCTCTAACTGTCTTATAACTCTAAGTATAATTTGTCCAGTTATTATTGTTTCTAACATGTGTTCTTATATCGACTGCAAGAGTCATGAGAGATCAGCATAAAATCGAC